GCAGAACCACTGAGCTAAATCCCTGCTCCCAATTTTTTTTTTAATGGTTTGTATCTAGATGTCCCCCCAAAGCCTCATGAGAATGAGGTGGGGCTATTTTGTTTTTTTTTCAATTATTTTATTAAATGTTATTTTATTTTATCTCATTCCCCTCTCACACACCCTCCCCTCCCTATGTAGAGCAACTGATGGTTTTTTTCTTTTTCTTTTTCTTTTTATTGAGTTTATTGGTACAATCTAGGTATACAATACAGTTACATTCATTATTTGGATCCTGTACCTTTACATGACAGGTCTTGGTTCTCATTTTTTCCCCTTGTCCCTGCCCTCCCTTCACCCCCTCCTCCTCTCCCCATTTACAAACACTTTATTTCCATTTTTTCAATTTCTCATATTTTTTTCCTCTCCCTTATTACCTCTCCCCCACCCTTCCCACTTTCCCTACACCTTTAGCCCTTTACTTCCTATTTCACATTATTAATTATCTCATTACGATCCTGTGTACTATTATAGTTTTTCACACCAGATAAACTATTCGGTATTTCAGTTAAAGGAATCTCTGTATGAACATTAAAAATAGGGAATCCTAAAATAAAACTAAAAAGGAAAGTAAAAGAGAAAAGGCAATGATGTAAGATTAAAATAATCCTTAATTCTGAAGATGAAAATAGCCCCTTAACATATTTAAATGAGCAACTGATGATTTTAAAGCACATGACTGGCATACCTCGATGTTCATTCATAGATGACTCAAACAGTAATTGGTTTGAATGGATTTTAAAGGACGAAAGTACAGTCACAATAGGAGACCATCTCTATAGTTCACATAAAGTATAATGAATATTTGACCAAGCACAATGGCAGTCAAAATGTAGAAGGCTAGGGATGTTGCTCAGTGGTAGCACCCATGTTTGGCATGCTCAAGGTTCCTGGGTTCAATCCCCAGTGCATGTGCACACACAGAGAAGATTTGTATTTGATTGGTAAAATCAACATGATATGATGATTGAAGGTAATAAATGGGGGATAGTAAGAGAGAAAGTCAAAGTTGCTCCCAAGTTTCTAGCCTGTGTCTGGATAGATATCAGGACTGAGTATTCAGAAAAGTAAACTTGGGAGAAATGTTGAGTATGTTAAGTCTGGGATGCCACACACCAGGGGTTTAGCTCAGTGGTACCATGCCTGCCTGGCAAGTGTAAGGTCCTGAGTTCAATTTCCCAGTACCAGAAAAAAATAAAATAAAAGTATCCCGGGACATAGCTCAGTGGTGCATCACTTGCTTGGCAAGCTCAAGGTCCTGAGTTCAATCTCTAGTACCAAAAAAAAAAAAAAAAAAGTTCTGGGATGCCTATGGGTGTCCCATTGGAGGTGGCTGGCAGACAACTGGCTACATAGGTCTGAAGCCCTGGGGAAGATCCAGGCCAAATGTCCTGAGACCACTGATAAAATAATGCGATATGAATGCCTTACCCAGGGAGTGTGTGGGAGTCGAGAGATATATATTGTTTTCACATAGTCTCATTCTTAAATTATACTTAAATTTAAAATTCTCATTTTTAAATTTTACGAGTTCTTTATCTTCTTTCTCAGGATAGTATTGCCCATTGATGTCCCTAGACTAAAACCATAACAGAAGTACTATGTTTATTAGTCTGATATAACCTTCATGACCACAAATTACCAACGGGATTTAGTACAGTCAGGTAAATCTTTTGAGCTTCTGGTCTCAAAACCTTGCCTTCAGTTTCTCTTTTTTCCTTGCACCTTCTATTCCTCTTTGTCCTCTACTCTCAGGTGAATTTAACTTCATACATCACTGAAAAAAAAAAAACTTAACTGTTTATCTCACCTTTCTACCATCAAACCATCAAGACTCCCTGCAGCCACTCTGTTCTACCTGCCTTCTCGTTACAGGAGAAGTATCCCCATTCCAGGCTACGACCAATCCCACCTCCTATGGAGTCCACTTTACCTATTTTTTACTCATGCACTTATCCCTCTTTTTCCATTATCAGCAAATACCTTTACTTGAGTTCATCTCAGCTTTATATAAATATGCCTTAATGCCATCCTCTAGAAATAAACCCAAACTTCTGTGCCAGAGCCTTCTAGTGCTCACTGATAACCAGTGTAGACTCTGGACACACAGCTAAGTTACATTTCTCAAATTATATTTCTCAGGCATGGCATGGAAACCCCATGGAAAGCAATCTGTGTCTCTGTGTCCAGGGTATGTAATATATTCACTTTTAGGCTTGGTCCATACAAATATCTCATTTGTGGTTCTTTACTCTTTCTTTTTGCAAAGTGGCCTTTAATGTAGTACATATTAGTGCTATAATATGGAAGGCACTCCAGGAGGAAAGCCATCCAATTCACACTGGATTGTGACTCAAGTAATAATCTTAGTGTGAACAAGATTGAAGATTTTAATGATAGCCCTTAACCTAATACAAATCCACATCCCCCTCCAGCTATTGCCCCATTTCTGTTTCCTTTAACACTCTTCCAAAAAGTTTATAGTTATCATTTCTATCAGTCTCTTCTCAACCTGCTCCAATTCAGCTTTTATCCCCACTTTCTCTTTTTTTTTTCGGGGGGAGGTGCTAGAGATTGAACACAGGACCTTTGCACTGAGCTACAGCCCCAGCTCCCCACCAATCTTTGATTTTGGGGGGCAAAGGACCTTGATATATAGTTCATGCTGGATTTGAATTCACTCATGGCAAGCCTCCTTGCCTCAGCCTACTAAGTGCTGGGATTACAGGCACATGTCCCCATGCTTGCCCCTGCCCCCCCATCTTTTTGAGATATAGTCTAAATTGTCCAGGCTTGGTTCAAACTTGCAAGCTTTCTGCCTCAGTCTCCCAGAGTGCTGGGATTATAGGTGTATACCACTGCTTCCTGGTAAAGATATTTCTTTTTTCACTTTTTCATCAACAAGTCCTTCTTCCATTAAAATAGCCACTAAATCTGATCTCTTTCTACCATCTCCTCTGCTAGAACATAAATCCAAACCACCTTTCTCATTTAGATTACTGCAGCTGCCTAAATGATCCACTTTGCTTTTTCCTAGTTAGAATATAGTAACAGCTAAAATATATCTCAAAGTGTATTCACACATTATGTATTTTAAAATTTCCAATAACGTGCCATGTACAACTAAAATAAAATCTACTTTTCGTATGATGGCCTACAAAGTCCTTCATGATCTGGCCCATTTACCTCTTTAACCTCAATCAGTTGGCCCTTTTTCAGTTCCTCAAACTCTTCCCTATTTTAAGGACTTGCTGTTTGCCATTCCACTGGGTGGAAATGTTCTTTCTCTGGTCTTTGGATGCCAACTTGGCTGCAATGTCACCTCTTCAGAGCTTCTATGTCCCTCACTTTCTACTCTCATGCTTTTTCCTTGTAGCAATAAATATTCTAATAGTATTTTAAATGGTCTTATTTGCTAACAGGCTTGTCTTTCGTGCAGGGCACAATCATAAAGACAGATTTCTATGGTGTTCAGCTAGCACACACACACACACACACACATATATTTAGAAGAGCAAAATAGATATTTGTTAAATGAATAGTATCAAAGTCTATAAGCCCTTGAAGACAAATATGTCCTATTTATAAAATTCAACTAGCTGCTTATTAGCTACATTTTTTCCCTAGCATAAACCCTTAAAAAATCAGTGGGAGTTTAAACCTTGGCTCTCTTGGCTTCCTATTATTTTTCTTTTGGATAAAGGTAATTGATTGGTAGCAAAAAGGATTGTATGTACCCGGCTGTATGAAGGTGTGTTTTGTTTTTTATTTAGGAATCTAGCGAATTGCACCACAGTATGGTTTAATGCTCACCTAATAATACGACTGTTACTTTTTTTTGTACAGTGTACATTTTGTAGAGTATATTTTAGGACTGGCAAATTCATTTTTAATTATTTCAAGAGGTTCCTTTGGTTTTGGGCATTTGTATGTCAGGCTGATTATCCATCGTCCCCACTCCCAATATTTTGGGCACTTAAGAAACGGGGGGAAAGCACAGAGCTTTGGAACCAGACAATTCTAAATTTAAATACTTTTTTTTCTTTTGCTATCATTCGTTAAGTAGAGACCAGTTATTTAACGTCAAACTCCAATTACTTCATCTATAAGTGAGGATAACTATATATCATAGACAAAATGAACAAGCACTGCCAAATGAATGTGCTAGTTATACGGGATTCTCTAATGCACCAGATGTTCGTTCCTCTCTCCCTTTCCTCATGGGTACCAGTCAAAGCATAGTTAGTGTCCACTTACACTGCATAATGAAGAGGCATAGGCTTCGCAGTGCAGACCTTTAGAGTTTTAAAAGTTTTAGTATATAAAATACGTAAAGTTAACCGAGCCTTCGCAATGTAGATATAAAGAGGGAAAATCAGACTACGGGGGTCCCCTTATGCAAATACACAAATCAGGAGCGAACTCGGACCCGGGTCGCTTCCGCACTTCCCCTCTAGGGCGCACCGGGACGCCCGCGCTCAGACGCTCGCCAGCGCGGGGGCGGAGATTTGCATGTGCGAAATCGGGAAGAGGGGGAACCACCTATCGAAAACCCGGGCGGCCGACCCTCTCGACGTCACCGCACCCGCCCACCAGCTCCTGAACTTTAAGTCACGCTCCGCAGAACAACCGGAGGAGGGGGATTTCTCAGGAGATCGCGCGCGGCCTTCTCACTCGCAGTGTCACCTCGCGGCTGCCCCCTCTTCCGCAGCTCCCACAGCTCGCGTCCAGGGCCGCCCAGTGCGGCTTCCGATGAACGCCCCGCCTCCCGCCCCCGAGGAAAGGCGGCTGAGAGGCGCCTACGTCAGCCGCGGGAAATCCCCGTCCCGCCTGCTGCCCTCCTCTCCTCGGGGAGGGCGCTGGGCTCTCGCTCCGCCCGGTCCTCGCAGCTGGCTCCTGCAATCTGGAGAGGCGACACTGGTGACCTGAAGCGTGAGAATTCAGAGGGTGGGAAGGTGCGAGCCGCAAAGCCAGAGGAGGGCGGGAGGAGGAGGAGGCTAGGGGGTGATCAGGGGGGCAGGCGGTCCTGCTGGCAGAGGTCTCTCGGGCTCCTGACAGACGGCTGACTGACGGCGGCCTCGCGCCCGACGCTGGGAGCTGCGGACTGGGCGGCGCGGAGAGAGCGGCCATGGCCTCGGGTGAGTGTCCCGCGGGCGCCGGGCGCGGGCCAGGCGGGCCCGGGAGGAGGCTGATCTGCCCGGAGTTTTGGGGTTCACCTCGGGACGCGGCGCATTCTGGCTTTAAAATCACCTCACTGGCAAATCGTCGGCCTTTTGAAAAGTTACCTGCGTCAGGATTTGCGTGCAAAATCAAAGCCGCGCTCTGTATCTGATTCCCTCATAATAGCTGGAACTTCAGAAATTCTCAGCAATTTGCTTTTCAGGATTAATGGAGTAATTATCTAAATAAAGGAGAACCAAGAGTTCTCGTACTTACAGACTGCGTTATATAGAATCGGTGGTTTCATATTTTAGAACAAGAATTAGGAACCTTCCGGCCTCGGACGATCTCCATCCTTTCTAAAATTTTAATTTCATCCAGGGCCAGTAGGTGATCGTTTTTGTGCTGACAGTTGTACAAAGTGTGATTCAACTTTAGAAGTCCTCGGTGGTGTTTTAACAGGTGTTAAGTGTATAATTTTTACTGTGAACTAAAGCGCACGCTTTTCTAGTTTACGGAGTAGAGACGTCGGATTTTCTTTTTCTTGTTAGCAACAAGGGGCAAAAAAAATTTGGGGGCCATCTGTGCTTTAAAATAATGGGTAGGAATGAAAACAACTTTATCACTTAGTGCAGATACTTATTTTCTGTTGCTAAATTCTTGATCTCTTGGTTTGCGGGGGAACAGGTTTACAGACTAGAGGGAGTCTCTTGTAGACTGCCTGGCGTGGGGCTGCCTGTAACCTCTGGCGAGCGAATCAAACTGACTGGCAAGGGTGGGGGCGTTTTCCAAGCTGAGGGAACAGCTTGAGCGAAGGCAGGGAGGTCTAGTATGCATTAAGCTTGTACGAGGAGGCTGAAGAGGGGGCTTGTTTATACTTGACCCACATCCTTGAGACTGCCTCCAGAGTGACCGTCAGTAGCAGGTTGATGTTTAATAGAGAAGAGGAAGCAGAAAGCATTAAAAAAAAAAAAAAAAAAAAAGGAAAAAAAACCAACTTCTTTAAAGGGTTGAGCAGAACAATGCCATAGCTACCGATGTAGGCTGAAAAGGAAATTGGGGTGCTTCACATGACATTTGATTTGTTTGTCTGTGGTTTTCATGTGAGAAAACAAATGTAGTTTAAAATATTTTAACTTTCCCTTTACCTATCTATCTACATGACCCCCGACTTTCACATGGTCTCGTAAATTCATAAATTCAGCGCACGTTTAGATTAAAAGTATGAAGATTTCTTATTTGGTTATTATCAGAAATATTTTGTATGAAAGTAGTAAATAATGGCGAACGTTATATTAAACAAGATCTGCCCTTGGATGTTAGTCCTTATTAACATATTGCATGACTGTAATACTCAAAATTTTTTCGACAGAGAAAAATTATTTCTACAGTGTTGTAAAGACCTACATTATTAAATGTAATACAGTTTAAACAACTTGTTTAGAGACACTGTATTTTGTGCTGTTAAGAGGTCTGATTCCCTAAATGAAGCAGGAAAATAAATGGAGTTTTCAGGGTCTGGAAGTTGCGGGGTGATTACTATTATTTTTTCTCGTGTTTCATTAAATAAAGTTATTTAAAATATAGCAAGTTATTTAAATTGTAATTTAGTTTAAAACCGGTAGGCCAAAAAAAGTGAATCTGGGTGTACGTTACTTAATCAGCTATAAAGACCTTATTTATACAAGAGGGAGAAAAAGATTCACTAATGAAATTGTAAATTCCCACCCTGTTTCAAAACAGTAATTTAACTGACAGAAAAAATTGCTTAGTTTATCATTTTGTAGTTTATATTGTTTGTAACAAGGTAGTATTAAAACTTCAAAAAGTATTTTATTGATTACTAAGCATTTAAGACTTTCATTTCGCACCGGATGTCATATGTAAATAGGTATGTGTAGCTGAATAATGTCTATAATGTAAAAGTAACACAGATCATCATCTCATAAACAAAATTATATTAGCACCATGGGAATAGGGACTTCATATAGTGATTCTAGATTTTGGTCACATAAATTAGCAGATTTTGTAGCAGCTCAACTATTAAACAGTTTTTCATTGCCTTTAAAGAAAATGCTACATCTTGATTCTAGATAGGCAAAATGATGAAAAATATTCCAAAGCCCCACAAAGTTATGCATAGTTAGGTAGTCATTACTTTTTTATAATTTATGGTTCTATCCTATTTAAATAATAAGATGTTTTATGTCTGAATTTAAAACTTATCATTTAGTAAAAAGAACAAAATGTCCTATGGCACATAGCTGTGGTTATTAATAATAGTCTTAGATGAAATGTGTTTTAAAATTTAATCTATTTTATTCACTTTTTAAAGTATTATTTTGCTGTGTCACTTAATGGTAGGTACACAAAGAAATTGTTACCAGCTCTTTGTTGTGTGAATTTAAAGAGAACCAATTTTTTTTTCTGGTAAGAAAGGGGGAAAATGAACGTAAGTGTAGATCTCTAATGATAGATCTGAAAGTTAAGAATGGATAACGTAAGAGATCACTTCTTTTTTTTTTTTTAAGTACAAGACCACACACATACATAAATGTAATTTCAAAAATGTTAGAAAGTTAACATGAAAAAGTTAACGGTGGTATGAAAAATTAAAATGATGCATAATAGACTGGGTGAATGAAATGACTAGAGGGGAGTCAGATAATGAATCATAAACTGGAACATTTGCAGCATGTTTAGTATTTTTCTCAAATAAAGGACTTAGAAATTTCTTTTGTTCCAACTTTCTCCCATTTGTCTTCTCTGCACATGATCGCCTTTATAGGCACATGACCCAGATACCCATAGGATATCTTTCACTTAAAAAAAAAAAGTTTATTTGAAATTTGTATTTAACTGGGCCTCCTATAATTTTATTTCTAAGTGTGGTAATCTTAAAGGAGATGATTCGACCCTAACATGTATTTTTTATTTGACTGCCTATATAATCTAGGACAGATTTAAAATATTTCTTAAATACTTTTTAAATATTTAAAAATTATTTAAATATTTTTTCCTTGCCTGTATTTAAATAAGTTTTTTTGAGTGGTAGAGAAAAAGGAGTTACAACTAGTCAAAATTGCTTTGCCCATTTTATTTAAGGCTCTGTCCATACTTGGACCTGAACTTTGAATTGCTTATCTAGATACATAAATCATTGTTTCCACTTTTTCCTGTTTTAGGACAGTGGTTCTCAGTCAGCGGTGTATTAGACTCACTTGGAAGACTTTTTCAGAAACACATGTGTGGGTTTTATCCTTGAAGAGTTCCATGTCTCTTTAGTTAGATGAGGTTGGAACATGTCCTATGATTTGGAAAAGCTACCTAGATGGTTCTGATGTGTAAACCCTTTGTCTAGGGATTTCATTAGATGTAATATTCAATTGCCTATACCAAGATGCATTATCATCTTAAACTAGGTTGCTTTTATTTTATATTGCAGGTTATGTGTTGTATCAGCTGTTAGGATTTTTCCCCTAGCTGTTTTTATTTATTTATTTTTTATTTGACACCCTGAAATCCGAGCTGTCATAACAACTAATGTCATTCATGATTTCTTTTCATAACTTCATATAATTTTGATCTATAATTTTATCATCTATAAAATGGGTGATAATTTCTGTTCTGTTTTTATAAAGAATAAAGTGAAGAGGATCAAATGAGAAATAGATGTAAGTGCTTTAAAACCATTAACTAATTATTATACATAATTAACATTTTTTCATTGTACACTTAATGCTGGTTCCTAACTCTAGTGATAAGATTTTAATGAATGTATCTGTTTCTATTAGCTGATGATCCATTTTTTACTTTAAAAATTAATTGTTTATTGGTACAATTTACATATACATAATGTTTTTTTAATCTTAAAAACTTCATACTTCATTAGAGAAGCACAATGTTTTAAAAAGCACTCTTTTTGCCTAGGTGCAAATAAAACCATAAATATATCTGCAAACATCTTGGCTATATTTTAAATGTTCTGATCTGTATTAGCATTTTAAAATACTGTTGAAAATATACAGATCAATCCTAGTTTTGCAAAGTATTGGTTAAAAAAAGTACAGTAATCAAATTGTTTAGAACCAATTTTGAAGGTATTTCAGTGCTTTTCAAGACTGTAGTGACTTTCAGCAATATTGATTGACTGTCCCTTTTCCTAACAATTCCCTGATCTGTATTTTATCTTTTCCATACAGATGAACTACATTTTAGCACTTTTTGTTTTCAGGAAGAATGGAACTACAAAACAGAGTACAAAAGAAGGAAATAACTGGTGTATTATACTGATAGATGAAATAAATGATTTATAGCTAGGAAATTTTTAAATATAATAGATACAGGTAAAGAAATAAGAATATGAACGGTTATGAAGAAGTATGAAAATGTAGTGATTCTCATACCTATAGAGCACTATTTTTTTCCATCATAGTGGAATTTAATAGGGAAGATCTGATTAATCACTAATGTAGTCCTTTAATTTTTGAATAATTTACAAACAAAAGATCTTTATATTTTTAATCATTCACCCAATAGATACAGTATTTATGCACTCTCTGTATTGATTAATAATCTCTATCTTCAAGTAGCTTGAAGAAATAAAGCAAGTAGCTTTATTTCAAGAACAAATATAATAGCGAGTCTCTCCTAAATTAAAGTTACTTGAAATAGTTGTAATAAATGCAAATAAATGAGAAAGGAGGCTATTTCCAGCTGGAGGAATGTATATTAGAGTAAATTCTGTTACATGGCTATTAGTGAGATTTTGTTTTTACCAATTAAGAGCTTATGCAAGAGGAAGAATGTTTCAAGGATTTTTAAGTACATAATATTATAACATGTACTTAACCTTAGTTGTTAATGTTATGACAACTAATATTTATCTCATTTTTTACTATTTTAAAAATCTTTTTAAAATATTTCATTTAATCTTTTCAACAACTGCTTTTCCGATCTTTTGTGTGTAGTCTTATTT